AATGGAAAAGGAACAGGCTCATCGTGCCGAGGTAGAGGGAAAGGTTTTAATGGAACAAGAAAGAGGGCGATCATACCAGAGTACAAAGCAACCCAAGAGGCTCAGCGTCCAGCATGACATTTTTATAAGCACCTGAAAAGGTAAAGTCGTGCCAATAGAACCAGGTTGAACTTCTCTTCCTGGTGGTATAAGGAGGTGGTAAGGCTCTTCATCAGCTCAATCTCCTTAATCTTGGAGAACCACAGTGCTTGAGTAGGAGGACAGGTTTGCTTCTGCAGGGTGGGAATGCATTGCTTAGCTGCATTCAAGGGATGAAGCAATAGGGATTTTTTACACTGACAAAAATTTTGTCAGACCCCAAATCCACCCCAGTCAGTAATTTCACCACTTCTCTGACTCCCGTCAAAAAAGAGGCAAAGCCAGGACAGGGCCAGAATATGTGAAGTGTAGTGCCCTCCGCATCTCCACAGCACCAGCAGAAAGAAGAGACAGCAGGATATATCTTATGCAAAACAAAAGGCACCCTTGTACCAGTGTGAGAGCAGTTTGTAGTTGGTTTCCTGGATCCTACTTGCGATAGAGGCATGATGAGAAAAGTACAGGATGTGATCTCTCTAAACATGGGTCAGCGTCAAATGCAGGCTTCCCACTTAACCAAGAACGGAGGGACCAGAAACTTGTAGGTCAGAGACAAGGGATGGCGCACTGAATCAGTCTCAGAACAAAGTCCATGTATGCGAGGATAGGAGAGCACCCAAGGGCAGCAAAGTGTATAGAAAGTGGAGTAATTGTTGAAGTATCCATGGGTCCAAAGGTGGATAGATTCCACAGCAAAGTGAGTAGAAGTGGAGTAATTGTTGAAGTCTCCAGGGGTCCAAAAGGTGGATAGATTCCCCTTTGGACCCCTGGAGACTTCAACAATTACTCCACTTTCTACACACTTTGGTGCCCTTGGATGCTCTCCTATGCTAGGTACGTATGGTATCTGGGGAAGCCATACCAGAATCCAAGGCAAAGTCCTTAAGTCTGACTTTAGAAGCTTCTGAAAAACGTTGAAAGTGAGGGTCGTTCCAGCTAGGGGAAAAATCGAGATGTGCCATGACAGGGGTCATGGGGGACTGCAAAGCGGGTAGATTAGGGGTTCCAAACACAGCATGGAACACCTTCACCGATGGCCCATCAGGGGGGGAGCACGCAGTATCCCCAAGTGACGAGGGTTCAGCCAGGAAATCTCCCACAAAGGCCATTTAGATGCCACGTGTTCCAATGGATTCCAACGTTTCAAAAAGGAGTTCCTTGTCCATTTCGGTATCCTGGAAAGGTGAGTGGCCTGATAATAGAGCATCGGGTGGGGAAGACCCAACCCCCCATGGAGCTTAGGCAGCACGCCTGGTCTGTGTCGATAATGGAGGTGGGGTATGAGTCTATTTGCCAAAATCTTCGTAAATAAGTAATTGGCGCAGTAATTGGCGCAAACAGTCACATCCTTCCCTGCTTTAGGGATGACTGTCATATGCGCTTGAAGTGTGTCATTCAGAAAGGTATGTCCTTCAAGATTTAATTAAAAGCTCGGACAAATTTGGGCAGGAGGGGAGCAAAACGTTTGTAGTATTGCGCAGTATACCCATCAGGTCCCGGTGCCTTGCCTGCTTTGAGAGACTTAAACACAGAGAGGAATTCATCAGAAGACAACGGTGCATCAAGATCGGTCACTGCTGTGTCACTTAGTTTGGGAAGACCCGACTCGAAAATATAGGCGGAGATATCCTCAGCCGTGGAAGTACCAGTCAGAGAGGAAGAGCCATGTGATAGATTGCACAAGGCTGCGTAATAGCGCCGGAAACAGGACGCGATTTCCCCAGACAGGACTGCTTTGCGACCGCTACCAATATCAATGTAGGGAATATAGGTCTTAAACGTAGTTTCCCGAAGAGAGCGTGCAAAAATCCTACACGGTTTATTGCTGAACTTGAAGGTGCGACGGGCTCTAACTAGATGGCTTTCCTCCTTTGCCACAGCAAGGCAGACAATTTGTGCCTAAGCAACAACAACTCCTGGGCCGCGGAGTGGGCAAGGGACTGCTTATGGAGTATCTTAAGACGATGGAATTGATCCAGTAATTGAGAGATCTGGGTCAGCCTGGTCCATTTAATAAAAATTTTAGCACACAAGAATAGTACGGACAGCGCTCTCGGATTAGGCCTGGGGAATAGGATACTGTGACTCTACCTCGCCTGCAGCCCTGGGAGACAGGAGGAGTACCTGCACTTGTGGAACCAAAGAACAAACGTGAGGGCGCAAGGCTAAAGGGGCTATAAAACTAAGTTCAACATAGTGAGAGAAGCGAAAGGAGATGGAACACTTACTTTGAGTGGGTTCCGGGACCGGATGGATGTGGAGCAGTGGAGGAAATCGTGAAGTCCGACATGTACAATCAATGAAGGCTGGTATGTTGCCTAGGGTAGCTCATCTCAGGGAAGAAAGAGGAGAGGGGTGGACGGGGGTGCGGGTAATGACACGTACAGTGTGTCCGTGTCCCCGCTAATGCAATGTAAAGTGCCGGCGAAGTGAGAACTGACGTCTTGCTGGGCTGCTGTGACTGCAGCTGCGGGTGGAAGAACTCGAACTGTGAGTGAACGTGACTGGACAGTGCCCGTACCATGGTGATGATGTGGGATGGCAAATCGGCAGGGATTGTGATGAGGTGAGGAGGGATCGGGTTTGTCAGGTCGTGGGTGGATGCTCGGGAGCAACGCGTTTCGAGGATGTTACCTCTTTGTCAAGCTCAATAGGAATGAGCTTGACAAATAGGTAATTCTTTGACAAAGAGGAGCATTCCTGTTGAGCTTGACAAAGAGGTAACATCCTCGAAACGCGTTGCTCCCATGCATCCACCCACGACCTGACAAACCCGATCCCTCCTCACCTCATCACAATCCCGGCCGATTTGCCATCCCACATCATCACCACGGTACGGGCACTGTCCAGTCACGTTCACTCACAGTTCGAGTTCTTCCACCCGCAGCTGCAGTCACAGCAGCCCAGCCAGACGTCAGTTCTCACTTCGCCGGCACTTTACATTGCATTAGCGGGGACACGGACACACTGTACATGTCATTACCCGCACCCCCGTCCACCCCTCTCCTCTTTCTTCCCTGAGATGAGCTACCCTAGGCAACATACCAGCCTTCATTGATTGTACACGTCGGACTTCACGATTTCCTCCACTGCTCCACATCCCGAAACCCACTCAAAGTAAGTGTTCCATCTCCTTTCGCTTCTCTCACTATGTTGAACTTAGTTTTATAGCCCCTTTAGCCTTGCGCCCTCACGTTTGTTCTTTAATAAAAATTATGTGGGCCTCCCACAGAATTTGAGTGGAGAGGAACACAAGGTGCAACGTTTCGGGGTCTCACATGATCTCCTTCATTAGGCAAACAAACTTGTTTGTCTGATGAAGGGGATCCTTTAAGACCTCGAAACGTTGCACCTAGTGTTCTTGCTTTGCAACATGTACGTGAATAAATAGGCGCACTGGACTTTGCCTTGGAGTGGCGGTGTCCATCTCTGTATATATATTCAGCTGCACCCATTTCTTCATTGATGGAGCAGCGGTTCTGAGTGCAATGGGTATATGGACTTTATCTTGAAGAACAAAAGAGTCACTACCCCTGCGAATCCCCAGATGGAAGGGATAGCCCCAGCGATAAGATGCACCAGAGGTAAAAATTTCCGCCAGAATCGGATGAAGCAAGCGATGCATTTGGGGTGTGCGCCGGGACAAATCAGGAAGAATATGAATGGTTGCTCTTCGTCAAATTCCACAAGACCCAGCGACGAGGCTTTGTGCAGTATTTCCTCCTTGAGGTTGAAGAAGTTTACTGTGCCAAGCATGTCTCTAGGCTGAGATGGATCAATAGGGGTGACAGTCTGAATGCCATGCACTCTATCAAGTTCTATGTCAGCTTCAGGCTCACGATCCAGGATCTTGTTAGAGATAGCTTGAACAGTAGATTTCAGGCCAGCGCCCACAGTAGCCTCAGGAATGCCACAAAGCTTCAAATTATTTCGCCTGCTATGATTTTCTAGATCATCCTTACGCGGCTGCATGGTCAGGAATTGTTGCTCACCTCGCTGATGAGCCACCTCCAGCCTGTGCAGGCTTTCTTCCATTGCGGACTGTGGAGTCTCCAAACTATCCACCCGAGGGAGATGAGAGGACAAGGAATCTTTGACCTCCTTCAGCTCATCTCTCAAAACCTGGATTAGTTGTGTAGTGAACACAGCCCAGTCCTGCTTGTTAGGTATAGAATCAAGCAAACGCTGGGTGGTTGCGGTGTGGCTGGGAGACAGGAAGGGGCTTCTGGCGTTGCAGCAGGGGAGGGCTCTCGAGAGCGAGCGTGGGCACACTGCGTGGCCTGTGGAGGTGTGATTCACACTGCATGCAAGTGGATTCTGCGATCACACTGGGAGCTCCGCAGACGGCGAAATATGCAGAGACTGAGGCTGCGGAGGAGGCTGTGGATGCCTGGCAGGCCTTTCTGCATCCGGGCATGAAGGTGAGGGCTCAAGCTGTTGCCGTGGTGATCAACTGTATGGGTGGCTCGGCCGACACAAAGAGCAGAAGGAGTTCGACTCAGCCGATCCAACATCTGGGTCGGCTGAGCCGAACCTCCGGCAGGCTACTCACTGCTGTTCGGCCTATTCTTATAGATGCCGAACAGCAGTGAGTGAATAGCCGAATGCCGCTGAGCGGAATTCGGCTCGGCTGTTCTGCTCGGTCCCTCAGAGGTACCGAGCAGAACAGAAAAATAGTTTAAAAAGTAAAAAAAAAGTAAATAGAAAACGATTGTGCGGAGCTAGCAGTGACAGCTAGCTCCGCCCAATAGTTTCCTATTGTCCGGCGGCTCTGCTGCCGTCAAAAATAAAATAAATTTAAAAAACTCTCCCGGGCGCTCTGGGAGCCTCCCGCTCCCGACCGCCCCGGAGAGAAACACTGCTGTTTCTTTTTCTTTATTTTGACACGGAGCGATGTAAGAATAGAAAAAAAAAAAAATAATTTTCCCATTGAAAAGCATTGGGACATTACTATTGGCTATTTCAATTTGCAATAGCCAATAGTAATGTAGCAATGCATTTCAATGGGAATTTTTTTTTTTTTTTATTTTGACACGGAGCGATGTAAGAATAGAAAAAAAAAAAAATAATTTTCCCATTGAAAAGCATTGGGACATTACTATTGGCTATTTCAATTTGCAATAGCCAATAGTAATGTGGCAATGCATTTCAATGGGAATTTTTTTTTTTTTTCTATTCTTACATCGCTCCGTGTCAAAATAAAGAAAAAGAAACAGCAGTGTTTCTCTCCTTGGCGGCCGGGAGCAGGAGACTCCCGGGGCGCCAGGGAGAGTTAGCTGTTTGGAGATCAGTGTCCCTGGTTAGCAGGTAACCAGGGACGCTGATCTCTCTGCAAGTGGCTGGAGCCAGCCGTAAGATCACAGCTGGCTCCACCCAGCTGTCAGAAGCAGGCTGTCGGCCAGCTTCAGCTTTCAGCGCGGCTCAGCCGAGCCTATGCATATGCGTTCGGCTCGACTGAGCCGCTCGGCCACGTTCTACTAAACCGAAGGCTGAAGCTAGCCCAAGGATCGGCCGAAGCTACAGCTAGATGCTTCGCGAATAGACCCCTTTGTCTGATGATGCCTGTTACATTGTCAGGTGCTGACACATTCAGAAGGGATTTTATCAAAACTGGAGCAGACATAATCTGGAGCAGCTGTGCACGGCAACCAATCAGCTTCTCTCTTTTATTTTCAAATCTTAACGAACAAACTGATTGGTTACCATGGGCAAATGCTCCAGATTCTGTCTGCTCCAGTTTTATTAAATTCCCCTCTCGGTGTTCTAGTGCCTGGCATCCACTGCCACTCTGCACAGTTGCCTCTTCAATGAGCAATGCTAAAGCCCTGCTTGCAGGGTCATTTCATTGCAGGGGCCAGACTAACACAACCAGTGTGCTGTAACTGGCCCGCATGCCATAGTTTGGGGACCCCTGTTTTAAAGTGTGAGTGCTGGCACATCCAAAAGTTCTCATTATTGGGCACTGCAAGCCTGCTGATCTACGTTGAATGACCAGGCAGTAAATTTTATTTCATAAAAATTCAGAGAATTCCCACATAAATGCTCTGGGAGTGTACATTTTGAACCACACAGATTTCAGCAATGCGGCCTGTAGAAGGCGCATAAAAAATTTTTGGTGGGTTCATTTAGTTACACATCATTTTGCTTTGTAATATGTAATTACATAAGTCTTATTGTCTTATATTGCTTGATGAAGATTACACAGGGACAGCTAATAAAACAAAAAACACTTACGATCTCCAGCTTCAATGACACCAGATGTAAATATAGAGGTACAAGTCCCAGATTGGCAATCCATCCAAATGCCCCGTGATCCACTGGCATTTTTCACCCACACCTGAAATAACATAGCTATCATTAGTGCTTTCACATGTGCATAACAGAATTACATTTTTCAATGCTAAAAAAACTCATTAGTCCCAATGTGTAATTACAGAGTCCCAGTTCTTCTCTGTTGGTGTACTTTGTACTATAATACTACATTTCTGCCTCTACCTTCAATAACTTCAGATTCTTCATATTGAATTGTCCAATCATTGCATGAGAATGTTTGATCTGATACCAGATCTTATAACAGCCCGAGAACTATAATGATCCCGAATAGTAGTCGATAAAGGTGAAGAGCAATGGTCATTAAATCTAAATAAAGGTTAATAATTACAACTACATCTTTCTAAAGGTGCCCATACACTTTACAACCCTCGTACTGCAATGAGGGGCGGGCTTAAGACGACTGCAAACGGGCTGTGTGCGCGTGCGCACACCGGCCCGTTCGGCAGTTGTTGAACCAGCAGGCCACTAACTCCCGCGATTCTCGTACGAGAATCCTGCAGTGTATGGGCACCTTAAAAGTGCTGTATATCTAAACTGCATTAGTTTTTCTGCAATAAAATGGATAAATGTGAATAGCTTCTAAGGGAAAATAGTTTCTTAGAGAACAGACAGCAGAACATGTGTTCCCAGTGAAAGATAGTTACTAAGACAAATAGAGAGGCTGAATCAACCCAACGGTGATACAGACAACAAAAACCTGACAAGGGTTCTAACCCTTATGTACTCAATCTGAGGCCTGGTTCACACCTAGGCGGTTTCAGTTTTGTGCGTTTTCGCACATTTATCGTGCAGTTTTTTTATGTGCATTTTTTTATTTAAATATGCGCGTTTCTCCCTGCATGGAGATGTCTACAGGACCAAAACCGCGTGGCATTTGCCTGAAAATAGCTCCTGCATCTTTTTGCGTGGCAGGCATTTCCCTACGCGCGGCGCAGCGCTAAGGTGTGAACAGTCACTATTGACTTGCATGGAAATGTGCGTTTTGCATGGAATGATGCTCAGATGTGAACCAGGCCTGAAACAAAAAATGCCTTTATCTATACTTTAAGCACTTGTGACTCAGCTTACCCTTTCCCAGAGTTTTTAGGTGGCTGGCCTGTGTGTATGACAGTGCTATTAGTTCATATAATGTGCACTGTGGAACTGCAGTCAATGTATGACACATTCCATTTGCAGCAGGGGTTAAAGTTTATTTACCCATACACATATAGGAGAACAGCTTTATTAAAGTGATCCTGGCAACGTGAGTTTTGTTGTACAAATCTTGTTAGTATGTACAGTTTGATATAATATACACAATCGAGCAGACATATTAACTCATTACATTAGCCTATACAATGTAGTCCTAAACAATGATTTTGCTTTACTGATCCTTTTCACAGTGCAAGTCAGAGGCTGTGGCAATCTTCTGAAAACAATTAATTCCCAGTATAATTGATAGCTTATCTCAGCAGTTATTGAGCAGTGAGGCTGAGTGAACACAGTGAAATACAGAACTCTCTGGTGGCTAATCTACATATCTAAATATTTAATACAATAACAAAATATGGAAGAGTAAGCATATCAAAATTTGAAAGTGAAATAAAAATATACTGTAAAACCAAAATCCAGCCAAAACATTTTATTTATCTATTGAGTGGGAAAGGTTAGACCTTCTGACAGAATTTTATTGCTGTGTGCCACTGCATTTGAAAAGATTTCCCTATATGCCCTGCAGGAGGGGGAATGGGGTCACTGGGGCCTTTTTTGCTTATAATTTACATGTTCAAATACAATATATTCACGGCCAGTATAAATTAAATGTAGTTTTTATCTTAAATCCTTAAGATAAAAAGTAAATGTAATTTTACAAAGGATAGGGAAACATCAATTGCACAAGGAGGAAAAAAGATTTTTACATCACTTCAGGAAGAGTGGGTAAGCTATGGGATATTTAAACACATAGGGTAGTAATGAAGAAAAAAAAAAAACAATAATGGAATTTAAATATTTTATTTCATGGAATTATATTTCTCCTGTGTGTGTGGCACAATTGGCAGAAATTTTGCATCGGGTTTTGTTTTGTTCATCTACTAAACCAAAGCTACAGGAGCTGTGAACTTGATTGACATCAATCTTTTCTTTAACCTTGTTAACTAGAACCTATGTAATAGTATAAGTCATACACGAAATACAGATCTGCATGGCCACTTAGACAGGTCTAGATTTTACCTATGAGACATCCATTAGGTGTACGTCCAGCATTAAGAAGATTACATGGTTGGAATCCAAGGAGTATCTCTCTGGCGCTGGTATAATCACAACTCATATGCAGTTTGCTTTATTGCACTTGATTCAATTTTTTAAAATTTCTTATAATTTGTTAAATCACTGTAAGTAAGAGTATATGTAAACCTAACAATTAACTTTTCATATTCACTCCCTTTGGTCTGTTAAATATACCATTGGAAGCACATAGCTTCCTGTGCTCTCTGCCTCTACTGCACTCAGTTACGTTGTTCCTAGCTATCTACAGTATGTGGACTACAAAACACCTCCACCTATGTAATTTAGAAGAGGATAAGGGAGGTGTTTGTAGTCCTGTCCAATAGTGGCAATGCTGTTCCTCCATAGATACAGTATATGGAGAGTGCATTGTTACCCTAGGACAAGTAAAGTGTGTTACTGGCAGGACCACCAGGTAAAAAAAAGAAAACTGATGTAGCCACCGCATCTAAGTGGTGATAAACTGCAAAATATAGCATTTTTGTCTTCTAATCAAAACTAAAAAAATAGTTTTGGCTTTAAATACATTTTATTGTGTACACCTATATATCAGACTATATCACAGGTACTATATTCACAATAGTTAACATGCACCAATAAAATCTGACAAATAAGTACATTATACATCTAAAATGGCTAATTAAAGGTGCACATACATTTATATATTTTTTTTTAATGAAATACTTCTTGTTGAAAATTGAATGATATACAATGCAATACATTTCCATCCTTTCAAGGAACAAATACGTGTTTTTGCTATGTAGCGTACACCTCTTCAACCAGAAAATAATTACAAAACTTCTACATTATGCAAAATGATTAAGTTATTAAAGCTTCATATATAGTTGGTTGAATAACTCAGATTTAAAACCTGAATATCCCACGTCATACTTACATTGGAAATGGTGGCAACAAAGAGCATTACAGTGGTGGCAATATGGACCACAAACACAGCTGCTAGTACAACCAACATGTTGCTGGATTCTTAAAGGTCGCGTCAAAGGTCCTTGAAAGAATAAAATTGATAGTGGTCACAATTCAGTGCATTTGTATCACTTATAAACTAAATTATACATATATCTCTTCTACAATACACAAATATCTTTCATGTATATACTATATAATTTGTATTTTTTTAAATAGTTTTTATTATTTAAGTTTCGTTTTTATCTGTTTGAAAAAATGTGGATCATTCTCTCCCGGAGCACCCTTGGGAAGGTAATTGCCTGAACAGAATAGCGCAGTCCAAATGTTACATACAATGTAAAGTTCAGTGCAGTTTGACAACCACAACGTCATCTTAGTTATGGTGCTTGTTGGCTGATAGCTACCCTGAAGGATTCTTGTAATCTACTGAGCAGATAGGAACTCCATCACTTCTTCCTGCTCCAGGCTGACAGTCACAGCGTAGTATGTGCAGGTGCCGAAAGCCGTAGGTGAAGCAGCCAAAAAGGACCATGACTAATATGGTGCCAGACATGTCAGCATAGGAGCGCAGTGGCCTCATAAATGGTCTAATTAAAACTACATATTCAGTACACACACACACACACACACACACATATGTGGCAGAGGGTTAGGGGCAGAGTGTTGCTGCCCCTAAAATGTATTGGCTGTATTTTGCTTAATCGATTTATGAACAATAAATCAGATTGGCGGGGCCAATGTCTAGGATACTGCGCACCAGTTAGGTTATGTCTAGGATACTGCGCACCAGTTAAGTTATGAACAATTATATTATTTTTTTATTACTGAACATTGAGTCACTTCTCGTTACCCTACAAGGGAGGCCTGCCTCGTTTAGGAGCTGCCTTGCCAGTGCCAGTGAGCTTAGTTGTGTGATTCGTTTCGTTCTAAATGTAAATTTCTATGAATTTCTGTAAATTCGGATGCATCTGAATTTCCGAATGACAGAAATAACGAATCTGAGCAAATCCAAATGTTTCATAATGAAATTCCGATACATACAAATTTCATGCGGAACGAAACAACAAGCGGGAGAGCTGTCAATTACTGCTCTCTGGCTTGTCTGACTTGTATCCCGAATGAAATGCGGTTCCCCGAAAATTAATAAAATACCCTTTAGGTGTGGTAGGAATTTTAAGGGAGCCCCAACACCCCCCAAAAAAAGTGGGGTCCCCCTAAAATCCCATACCAGGGGGGGCGAGCAAGCGGTCCCCCCTCCCTCCATCATACCAGGCCACATGCCCTCGGCATTGGGAGGGTCCTTTTCTAGGGGGGACCCCCTGGAAAAGCACCTTGTCCCTATGCCGATGTCCCCATGCCACTGGGTCAGGGTTGTGGGGGTCTGCGGGCAGGGAGGCGCATCTGCATCTGGGTACTCTCTCAGGTCTCCTCCTCTGTGACTGACATCAGGCAGTGGGCGGATGCATTAGCTAGCCTTCTATTGGTTCTTTCAATTTTAAATATCCAATAGCAGGCTTTGTTTATTTCTGCCCACTGCCCTTATATAAGCATTGCATCAGGGATTTTTTTTTTGTCATTGGTTGGCTGAGGCTGGAATAACGTTGTGGGACATTTTTTAATTGTTTAAAAATAAAGACCTCGTTAAAACTTGTGTTTGTGTTTTTTGTTTAAATAACGAATGGTTTTCTAAGCCGTGGTGTGTTTATGTACATTTTATTTAAGCCTTTAGTGAATGAGTAGGGGTACAAGTACCCCTTACTCATTCACAAGGGGGGGCAGCACCTGGGTGCCCCCTTTATGAAATGGGGTACCCAGATGCAGATGAGCCCCCCTGCCTGCAGACCCCCACAACGACCGGGTGAGGGTTGTAGGGAAGAGAACCTTGTCCTAGTTAGCATTATTTTGCCATTGGGATTCCCCTTAAAATCCCTACCTGACCTAAAGGGCGGTGCTATGAAGTGTAGGGGGAACCCCACGCAATTTTTTTTCTTTGTTTCTGTGGAGTGTCAAAAGTTAAAAATAAACATTTAATGCCACTTTTCTGCAACAAATTTTCGTTTGTAATGACCATTTAACTCATCTGAAATTATTGAAAATTCGGATTCATCCGAATGCCAAAACGAATTGACTTTCAGACCCAAATCCCGAATTTGCCGGCTTACATGTCTATTGTAAACTTTCCTGCATCTGGATGATTTGAGTGAGCACAGTAGTACCTGTGCCTCTGGGCTGCATGTGGTGTACTTTTTCAGATGATTGTTTTATTTTTACTATTTATCTATATTTAGGCATGGCATATTGTAGTGAATTAAGAAGTAACAGCATTTGACTTTGTGGTGTTAAAAGATTTGCATGAGCCCAATGAGTCATATTAGAAAATGTTTACAAATGACTGTGCACATACATATACTTGAACATCAAAAAGGGTTGTAAGAGGTTTGGAAAGAAAACTAAAAAAATCACCAGGGAGAGAAAATAGGATGAAAAGTGGTTAGATATGAGTAAGCTGCAGGACACATTCTGAGACACTTTAAATATTACATGTTAATGGAATGCTAGTCCAGATCTAGTTTCAGTGATTATAAACCTGAACTTGCAACCTCAAGGAGTGTCCTTATGGGTGAGGTGGTATCACTTCATCATTGGTATGTGTGAATTGCAGGCACACCTCTTATCATGAATGTGTGTCTGGGTGACGCATTGGCGTTAATTTACTAAAAGAAAAGGGACTGATCATTTAGCAAAGTCAATGCTCACTCAGCTTAGTAAAGTAAAGCCGGTTTTGCTTTAAATGCCCAATCATGTGTATGCAAATTTAGAAACAAAAGACATAGGGGTCTATTCACGAAGCAGCCGAAGGATCTAGCCGTAGCTTCGGCCGATCCTTCGGCTAGCTTCGGCCCCAGGACCCCTTCGGTTCATCTCCCGAACTTGACCGAGCGGCTCAGTCGAGCCGAAGGCATATGCCTCGGCTCGGCTGTGCCTCGCTGAAAACCGAAGCTGGCCAAGCGGCCGACAGCCTGCTTCTGACAGCTGGGCGAAGCCAGCCGTGATGTTACGGCTGGCTCCGGCCACTTGGAGAGATCAGCATCCCTGGTTACCAGCTAACCAGGGACACTGATCTCCAGACAGCCCAACTCTCCCGGGCGCTCCGGGAGTCTCCCGCTCCCGGCCGCCAAGGAAAGAAACACTGCATTTTAATTTTTTTTTGACACGGAGCTGTGTCAGAATAGAAAATAAATACATTTTTGGCTATAGGAATGCATTGCTAGATTCCTATTGGCTATTTCAATTTGCAATAGACAATAGCAAACTAGCATTGCACCCGCCCTCTGCTGCAGTTCCCCATCAGGATTACTTATTAACAGCAGCAGAGGGCGGGTACAATAGCTAGTTTGCTATTGGCTATTGCAAATTGAAATAGCCAATAGGAATCTAGCAATGTATTCCTATGGCCAAAATTGTTTTCTTCTTTTTTGACGGCAGCAGAACCGACGGCCAATAAGAACTGTTGGGCGGAGCTAGCTGTCATTGCTAGCTTCGCACAATCGTTTTCTATTTTTCTACTTTTTAAACTATTTTTCTGTTCTGCTCGGTCCCACAGAGAGACCTAGCAGAACAGCCGAGCAGAACAGCCGAGCCGAATGCCGCTCAGCTGTTGGATCGGCTGAGTCGAACTCCTTCTGCACTTCGTGTCGGCCGAACATGCTGAGCATGTTCGGCTGACCCGAAGCCACCCGATGTATGGCTGATTTCAGCCGATATACGGCTGAAATCAGCAGTACCAGTCTGAAATGAATAGCCGAACAGCGTTCGGCTCACTTCGCTTTAGGTCAGTCATTCACTCGGCTGCCTACGGCAGCTTAGTGAATAGACCCCATAGTGTCTTGCACATGATTGGGTGATTGAAGTGAATACAGTCTTACTTAATTTTGCTAAGCTTGGTTAACATTTGCTTTGCAAAATGTACTGTATATTAATTCGCTTTTGTAGATCAACCCCAATATATTAAGTTATCACGTAATAGTCAATCATTCCTCTGCATGTATATTTGTGATATAATGACTCAATTATACCTAATATACACCTAATGTACAGGAATACAATTTGACCTAGGACTACTACTATTACATATCTGCCATAGTCTCATCAAGTGCAGATTTGTCACAGAACTGGACCAAGATGAGTATTTCTACTAAAATGAAACATAACTGTTAATCATACACTTCAACTAAATTTAGGAAAATATAATTTCCTTCTCTTTTTTCTGCCTGTGCAATATATTATTAAACCATTTAAAATCAGAAAATGGAACATTTAGGACAGAAAAAAGTGGATGAGTGCCCATAGCAATCATATTGACTTAAAGTTTGAATTATATGCGTTTCATCTGATAGCTGATAATGTACTGGGCTTAACAAAATCAATTTATCTTCCTTAATTGTCCTCAACTTTGTCAACCAATACATAAAATATAATCTTCCCAGCTCAATACTAGTTGGGCTCTCTGGCTAAAAAAATTAATATGAAATGTCTGATATTACAAATAGATAACTCATCTACTAGGAACTAACAATACCATTCACTGACTAAAGAGGCAAAAAGGGTACCGATGTCATGTCAAATTTGCTTTATTTCTTATCACCTAATGAACAAATTCAGAGAAAAATATGGGCATTTGTAAATGTCTGCAGCTAGGGCACACTTCCCTTGCTCTCAACGTGGGGATATATACAATCAGAGGTACATGTGGCAAGAATACCTCAAAGCTAGTAATGATTTTAGGAATAAGGTCCTCTGTGGATTGTTCACAGATCTTACATAAACTGTAAAAGTGTTTTAGGGGTTCCTTTAAATTGTGGCAACTACATTCCCACCTTCCTGGTAAACATTCACTTTGCTAAGTGAACAACCTCTACTTCTTTAACCCCTTCCTGACCAATGAGGGGATTATCCCGTCACGATCGTTCAGTTCGTTAACGACCAGTGACAGGATAATCCCGTCATGCGGTACAATGAGCGCTGGTCCATGAAGGGACCAACGTTTATTGAGTTACTGCTGTTGATGGGTCAGAGGCA